GTAGTTTGATCAATTCTAATTGTAGATCTGATGGGATTTCCTCAATTTTGTGTATGTATGTATGAATGTATGTATGTATATATATATATATATATATATATATATATATATATAATGTGGACATAGAAGTCAACATTTAGAGGCGACAGTTTGTTACATGCTAGAGGCAATCGTCAGGCATGACGATTGCATCTAGCATGAAACAGACTGTCGCCTAAGTGTTGACTTCTATGTTCATTTTATATTTACACACGCTCTCTCTCTGATATTGAGCACTTTATCCCATAAATATAGCACATCTTAAGACTATATTTCTTTATATATATATGATCAGAGTGGAATCAGACCAGGAAACAGTAGTATTAAAAAGTGCTTAATACATGTGTGAAAAAAAATAATAAAAGTAAAAATAACGTGTGTGTGTGATATATATATATATATATATATATATATATATATATATATATATATATATATATATATATATATATATATTGTGTATATTTAGGCAGCAATTTTTCATTGATGCATGTTTCATTAAATAATATAGACAAGTTTTGTCTATTTATTTTAAGTAAGTTCCTTTCATATTGTCTGATAAAGCTTAATCACATTTCATTGAAAGACGAAAGGAAAAACACCATATTGATACATGTTTAAATCAATCTAAGCTTTCGGCTTACACAAGCCATTATCAAAGATGACAATTTCAATAAATCAAACAACAACGGATGAAACAACAATGATAGTCTGCCCTTGCTGCATGAAAATTTCAAGTAACGACAAACTCGTATATACGAGATGCGGAAGTGAAAATCGTGTCTCAGCTCGTGACGTCACACATGATCATGCGAGAGTGAAAACAGATTTATTGGTAATTTCCACGAGTCTATGTGTAATTTCCTCCAGCTGGTCCGAGGTAGTTATATCTTTTAGTTTATCGTAGATGTCCTGTTTGTTGCAGTTAAGGGTGTTCAATTTTTCTTTGGCTATTTCACTAAAAATAAATACTTAAAATAAATAGACAAAACTTGTCTATATTATTTAATATCTCTGTCTCTGTCTCTCTCTCTCTCTCTCTCTCTATATATATATATATATATATATATATATAAGCCTTCTCTGACTGGGTCTTTCATTACTGGGAACTTTTGCTGTTCATTTAGAGCAGTTTAAGTTTAAAGTCAGCCCACCTGAAAATCAATATTACTAACAACATTTGGGTGCAACTGAGGCACATCCCCAAATGGTGGCGGGCACCCTAAAAATGAACAATATAATAATAAATTATTGTAATAATTTAAACTATTTTTATTAACGTTTTGATGGAAGATATATATCCAAGAACAGATAGTAAATAGTGAAATGTTGCTGAGTTATAATGGGCAGGAACTAGTGGAGAGCCATTGTTGCCAACAATTTGGACTCAAAACTGGCACTGAAGAATTATCTCTCAAACAAAAAAATTTTGTCAAAATCTGATGAAAACTGGAAATGCATAAACAACATCTGATCTCACACACACACACACACTTTGAGACTTTTTATATATATATATATATATATATATATATATATATATAGGACAACCAGCCAAGTGGTTTGAACATTCATTTTCCAACCATGAAACTCTGGTTTGAATCTCAGCATGATCAATTTGTCAGGAAGTGACCTTCCTGATTTTATCATCCTGGAGAGATAATCCAAGCCTGCCACACCTTTTTAGGGAATTCCCTAACCATACCATTGGATAGACAGATCTATTTGTGAGTTGTTGATGGCTGTGTAGGCATGAAGTCACAAGTCATCATGACTGAGGGTTTGAGCATTGTAGGCTTGCTCAGACTGTTAATCATGCCAAATAATGTGCTCTCTCCCAGAAACCGTAAATAAAATCCATTTGGCATGTTGCAGTATAAATCACAGGTGGGCACTGTAGGTGTTGAACAAACAAATGTGCCTGAGCAGGCATCTGCAACAGGGATTGGCTATCTGCCCTAGTAGACAAATATACTTGGACACAAGTGGCCAGCCATTAATATCACGTCAGATGTTTTTTTTTTTTTTTTAAATTTATATAAAAAATACTATTTATATAAAATTATTATATTACTATTTAGTAATAATAGCATACAAGCTGAAAACCTGTCTTACAGTTTTATTAATAAATTTATAAGTGGGTACATATGAAAAGATTTGAAATTGACAATTTTTTTTCCACTGAAACTGCAGACAAACACGTCTATCTTCACTTCTTCCTTTCTTTCATTTTCTCACTGAAACCAAGTAGTATCTCTGATATGTCAGTTCTTTGTTTTCACAGGTCAAAATGTTGTAGTTCAGTATTTATGATGTATTGGCAGGTGTAAGAGTAATGTGAACTAACAAAGTGAGAGACAAGCAGAATTATAAGAGATTCCATGTAGATATTGGTCCAGATTTGACCTGTAGTTTTAAAACATAGACAATATCATGTTTTGCAGATAAACCAGTCATAACTAAATAATTTATTTTTTTGTCTGAATTTCTAGGATGAGTAGTTATCATTATTTACACTCTTTATGTTCATGTTATTGTTCTAATGTTTCGACTGTTGTGCCCTCCAGCCTTCTTCAGGTATATATCAATCTGGTAGAAGTCTATGAGGACCTCCTTAGTAAGCCTAACACAGAAATAAAGATAATATAGGCGCTGCTAATAAAGAAAAAAGACAAATGATAGCAAGTCTTCAACTGCAACAGAAGCAACCAAAACATGACAGCCAGTAGCAGCAGTTGCAACTTAATCAGCAGACAGGTTAAGTTTAAGGCTCTAAGTTTACTACAACTTTATGAGACAATGGCTTAGTGGGAAAGCATTGGTTTGTGAACTTGTGAGTTCAATCCCTGGGTTGGGCAGTGTGTACTTGTACTCAGTGGAAACTGGTGAGCAATAATAGAACAGTATTAAATAAAGAACTAGATGATATTGCAAGACATGGGAATGATAACAATTTACTCCTCCTCCCCCAAAGAGATTAAATAATGGGTTCAATTCAGAATTCCTGTAGGTTACCCAGAATGATATGCTCCTGAGGAAAGCTGGAGGGTACAATGACTGAAACATTGTGATAACAGCAACAAAGATTAGGACAATAGTCCAAATACAGTGTAAAAAACTATTTATTTCTCAGACATCAAACATTACAATTTATCTATGTATAGGTAGCTATTTGTGAGAAAAATATAGAAGCTACCTGAGCAACATTAATTCAATGAAATAATGGAGTTCTTAAGTTGGCACAAATCTACCCAGACATCCAAACATTAGATTTGTATTTATTTATTTATTTGATGGGCCTTTTGGTTTGGTGAGAACTTTTTAGCAACCACCTCATATAACTTCCAGAAAATTTGCTGCCAAAAGAGTTAAATATCTTTGCATTAGAATTTTACCAATCAAAACTTTACACTGAACTCTTCTTCATTTTTTTTTTTTTCATTCTGTATCAATCAAAACAAAAGCAACAAAGGTGAATAGATTAACCAATATATATATATATATATATATATATATATATATATATATATATAGAGAGAGAGAGACAAGCCTACAAGGTTTCACCTAAGCAGATCGTCAGGGAAAGCTTTCCTGATGATCTGCTTAGGTGAAATGTTAAGACAGTAAATTAACACTTCAAACTTGTAAATGTTTATATTCAACTGTCAGTTTTAATTTTCTATTTTAAACATGGTGGACATATTTTTAAAGAATGAAAGTATTATTTGAATGTTTCTTATTTGTATCACTGTGTTGAGTAACTTGTATTGTGGATAAATCTTAAAAATAAAATTCCATTATAAAATAATACAGCTAAAAACAGCAGGTGCAAGACATATAGAATTTAAATACTCTATCTCTTCGTGTGTGTGTTTTCCTGTGAAAATAATATAAGTTTTATATTTTCTGAAGTGTTTATTAAGAATATCAAAATTGATATTTGTTCATGTCAAGTTAGAATTCTTGAAAAATTTAACCATTTCCACTCAACCTGATTACTTAAAGATTATTCATATTGGTTTCTGAGTTAATTACTATTTGGATTATGATTTTGTTTTTTAAATTTAAAATAAAGTAAAATGCATAATTTTAGAAGAATACATATTCATAAATACTGTCTAGTTATGATCTGTTTTAAGACTCAAAAAAAGAAGGCTGTTCCTTAAGATCACCTGATTTATACTGTTTTCATTCAACAAACAATGACAATCATTTAACATTTAGGTACTGACCAAGTTCGATGTTGTTTAACTTTGGTGATTATCAGAGTACCTGTGTTTCAATGTAATATGATAAGCCACTGCAAGGTGTAATAAAGCGACAAAAATAAGATGAAAGCAAAACTAGTTAAAAATTAATGATAATGATTCATTTAACAGTTTTGAGCGATTTTAAAACATGACATTTTTTTTTTTTATGACTAAGATCTAAGATAAACTTCTTATTTATTTTTATTCTTATTCATGAATTAACCCAGCATTCTCAAAATTAAGGTAGTAATAATGCAGCAAAACATTAGTATAATTACTGAGGTCATAAAAATGTAAATTTTGTCTCCCTTGGATCATGTTTCTAGATTATTTCTTTCTTAAAATCTAGAGAATTTAATTTTTGGTTGTCCTTTGGATTTTGTTTAAGTAGATATCTTAATGTCTCATGTTTTGAAAAATAAACATTGAGAATGTGTAATCGTCTAAATGGGCAAAATTTCTCGTAATGATTCTGGAAAAGCTCTTGTTCTCTCAAAATTCCAAAGGTTAGTGCTTCCTATAAAAATATTCTCTTTATGTTTTAATTTTTTCATGTTGAATGTAAGGCTGCACACAAGTCTTCTAGCCCTGCAAATCGGTTAGTCATAATTTATGAAAATGTTTTGTCTCCAGGTAAACAAACAATAGCAAAAAATGCCAAGAGCAAAGAAGCGAACAAGACAAAAGAAAAATAAGGCGGCTAAGGCCTTGATGTCCCAGCAGACAAACAGGCAAGATGCACCAATTGGGAGCCAACTATGTTCTGGAACTGGTGAGTCACGTGTGGACTCTATTACACACATTGCTTACTTCATATTTCTGGATTTGAGAAGATCAGGCATGCCTAGTGGAAAAACCAAAGCTGCTACTACTATTACTACTACTATTATTATTATTATTATTGCTACTGCAGTCGTTGTCATTATCACAGCTTTTTATTTTCAGGTTGCTGTTTCAAAATGTGTCACAAATACACGTTTATTTTTTTCTTGCCTTATCACGCAGCTAAAAAAAGAAAAAAAAACAAATAAAATCAAACAAAATTTAATAAAAAAAAAAACCAAAAAAAACAAGAAAAGCCAGCATGGCTGCATGCTTTCAGTGCAGGCAATTATTTGTAAATATTTTTTGTAAATTTCTTGTATGTTTTTATAAAAAATTCCTGGAAATTCATCTGCTGGACTATTTAAAACTTGTTTACTATTTAATGTGATTAATATATACACTAGTTGCTTATTATCAGGACAAAGATTTATTTTATATTATTATCTTCAACATTTTGTCTTTCTTTTCCTGTCTTACTCTTGCCTATACATCTTAATTTCCTTTTGCCTATTATATTCTAATATCTTCTTTTACTTATAGTTGTCGTCAGTTTTGTTGCACTAAAATATCTTTTTTCCTCTTAATTCTCTATCTTTCTATAGCATGATTGTTTTTACTCCATTCTGAAAGATTTTTCTTTTCTTTTTTTAAATAAAGAAAATAATTATTAACAGCATGTAATCCTAGGTGGTTGGTGGGTTATTATTTTGTTATATTTGCGTTAAGAAAAGATTAAAAAAATTATGAAATAAGTACAATTTTTAAAAAATTGATAAAGTAATATTAAAGAGTCACAACAAATCATTGTTGAGATTATGACCTGAGCCAAGCCAGTCACTTGTTCTTATTCTCTCTGTAGATGTCACATTTTACCAACTCAGTCATACTGACTAGATTAATATTGTTAATGTTAAAAGTGTTAAATTTTTAAGTTAAAATATTTCTATGCAAAACATTGTATACATTAAATTGTAAAATATTCTTGGCTGGATGAAATGCTTACAGGTTAAAGTCCTATTTAATAACTTTTTAAATATAGATGTAAAACAATGTTTTTTTTTAGTTTTTTAATATCTACTTAAAACTTATATTTAAATCTTGTTCTTAATGTTTTTCCTTATGTTTGAAAAGGTAAGTTCTTTTGAAATCTGAGTGTTTTTTATCTATGATTTTTAGCATATATTTTTAAACTTTATTTTGTGTTAAAATTATTGTGTAACTATTAAGTTGTGTGAGTCATTCAATGCGGAAATATCAGCATATCATCTTTGATAACACATTTAAATAAATGTACTCTGGGAATTGAATTTTTTGACAATCTATATTATAGTAATTTAATTTATGTATGTGCATTCATTTCTTACTGTTACACAATGAAAACAGCACATTGTAACTCAATTTTTGTTAGTGCATTTTTAATGGTATTGCACTAACTTAGAGAATGAAACCCCTCCCACTTTGATTGGCCCACTGGTTTCAGAATAATTTTAATTTAATATAAATCCCCCTCCATACCACCACTAACACTGAAATGTCTGTACAAGGAAGATAACTCCAGGTCTGTTAATTACTAGTTGAAGAATTGTTTCACTCAGTTTTCTTAAGAAAATAATATTGAAGGAAGAAACCTTGTATTATCTGCACTCTTTTCCATCAAGCATAGTAACATAAACAGTGATAATATTTAATATGAATTCATAATAATTATACTTAGTGATAATTCTAATTTACAAATAATTAGAAGATAGATTTTATAAATAGGAATATTGAATGGAATATATGAAAGACTACATTAAAGTCATTATTTTTTTTTTTTTTTTTTTTTTAAGATATTGACTTTATTTCAGTGTATATATAAAACACATTTGAATTATTTTAATTATTATTTTTATTGTTTTGGGGATGTAAATCTTGGTATAAAAAATTATTAACCTGCAAAAATTACCTGAGAATTTTTTTTTGATTTTCTTGATTTATTTATTTATTTTTTTTTTTATTTAATTATTTTTTTTCAAAACAAACTTTGTATATGGCGGATCAAACTTTATAAATGCATTTTCAATGTATAATATAGTAAGCTTTTGATTGTTTTTGCTTTGTTTTTCTGTAAGATTAAAAGAACTGATATTCAGAGTTTTTAAAAAAGCATGATTTCAATATGAAGCATGATAAAAAAAATAGTATATTTTGTAATTTGTTAAAACTATAAAACTTAATTTTATTTTTTTGTTTTTATTATATCTTTAATTATTTCATGTTTAATAACTAATATAAAATTTAACTTTGTTTGATTTTAGGGTATGTCATTAGCTTTATCTCGTATCCAAGAATATAATTTCTTCTTTGCTGATCACATCCTTTATGATGATGTCACCAATGACTAAGTAGGCCAATTCTTGCATAGAAGAGTTAATGGCATTGGCTGCATAGTAATGTTGGTGAAGGTCATAGTTGATTTTTGTCAAGCCTTTCTGTTGTTTAACTGCTTCCTTTTCTCTTCTGGTGGCTTTGAAGTTTTTGGTTCTGATGGTGATGGAACACTGCCAGTTGGTATGGTTTTGGGCTTGTTTTAAATGATTCAGGCTCAATTTCAGTAGCTTTCAATGTTGTCTTGAGTAGGTCCTTGTATCTTTGGAGAGGGTAACTATGTGGTCTTTTCTTTGAAGGAAACTCATTGAATAAGACTTGACGTGGAAACGGTGACTCTTGCATTCTTGCTGCTTGTTCTGACTATCGAAGAAGAAGGTGCTTCATGATCAGCAATTTTATGCTTTAATGGTTGTATCTTTCCAGGAATTTGGTGTTGATCAGTCTTTTCATTTGATGTTCAAGATTGAACAAAGCTTTTGTTGGTGAAAAAAAAAATTTAATTTTTAAATGCCAATGAGATATAGTCCAGGTTCCACAGACATATAGCAAAGTTGAAATGACAACAGCATTATAAACCATAATTTTTGTTAAGTTCAGATCTTTGTTGTTGAAGACACATTTGATTAGCTTTCCAAATACCTTGTGTGCAGCTTCAATTCAGGTATTTATTATTTCTTTTACAAGATAAGACAAATAAAAGAAGAGATATATTGCCTTTGGCAATGTTTTCCTCTCTCTACATGAGAGTGATAACAAGTCTTATCAATTACTCACTCAGAATAGTTTCTCATATTACTTCTCTGTCTACTAAACTATCTCTGAGCCAGCATATGAATCAATGATGAAATCTTAAGTGGAAATATGTAGCTCATTAATCATACCTGTACTCTGCATGTCAGGTTAAATAGTAATGGTAATATCATCCGTTTCCTTATGAGGAAACATTTGGCATTCATTGAACAAGCAGTTGGAATTTATAAAATTTTTCTAAGTTTTTTTTCAGGAAAATAGGTTTTTGATGTCCAGTTATTGTTCTTTCCAGTATTGATAGGGGCTTCCTTCCTAACCTTTTTTTTTCCTTTTTTTTTTCCTTTTTTTTTTTGAAGTAGTGTGGAATGTCAACATCTTGATTATGTCATTATTTTCTCTTTGTCTTATCCATTTTAGTTGTTGCCGTTGTTGAAATTAATATAAGTAATACTTCAGAAAAAAAGTTTCATTCTAACTAATATATATCTCTGTTGATATTTACTTTTGTTTGTTGTTCCTTAATGAAAAGAAATATCTTTTATCTTTTGATGACACTTTAAAATATTAAGTTTTAATATAAATTAAAAATAGATATTTAAGCATAAGTAACTCATTGTTACCAGAAATGTCTATGAAAACACTGATAGCTTGTGATTGATAAATATTGCCAGGGTGCCATAAATTATTTTCAATGCATTTCTGTATTGGATTTTAGTATTTATGTCACCATATGTATATATAATTATTAAAGTAAATGAAACTTTTGAATAGATTTTACCTATGATATCATAGGCGACATAATAATAAATGAATTAAATAATCTCTTTGCTATTTGATATATTTCATTATATTATGTTGTTAGGAAATTATAATTCTGTTAGAAAAAATTTTTATTTTGTTTTGTTGATACGCAATAAGAAACTTACTTTGTGGTGGTAATTGAATGACAAGATGAAAATCATTGACACATTTTGTTTCATGAAGAAACTTTTCAGACTAACAATGTTTTTATTGATAGAATCAGCCTTATATATATATATATAAAAACCTAGTGAGCCAGACAAACCTACCCAGGTTTCACCTAAGCGGATTGTCAGGGAAAGCTGGCCTGCTCTACGGTTGTATTGAGCTCTTTTAGTTAGTGTTAGTTATTTACTTGTGTTTTTTTTTCCTTTGGGCTTTAAACCTGTATCTGTGCGATTTTTTTTTTTTTTTTTTTTTCTCCAACAGACTTTCATGTTTCTAGCTCTTTCTTTTTTTAAAACCTTTTTTTCCTTTGTGATTGATTTCATTATTGGCAAATCAAAAATTTGAAGATTTTTCAAAACAAGTATATTTACCTATATATATATATATATATATATATATATATATATATATGTATATATACATATATGTGTGTTTTGATTGGATAATAGTTTACTCAAGTACTATTGGATATAACCTGCCCTTTCCTTATAGGATTTATATCTGATTTCTTTGTGCACCACACATTTGATTGATTATAACAGATGGAGCTAATTTACCATGGCTCTCATTTATTTTGGTGGGGGTTCTCATTCATGATGTCCTGGAGGAATTCTATATTACTGCCAATGTCTGACAATCAAGAATGTATTTTTTTTTTTTTTTACTGAAGAAACATTCTTGCCAGAGACCTGGGGGAGCTCTCTTATCATAAGCACAAAAGGGCTTGATGACATTGTGAAAGGTTGCAATCTCCGAATCTGTGATTAAAGTAACAAAAACTGCATCCTTTTTCATTTCCTGCATGCTTCCATGGTGGGTCTGAAAAAGAAACAAGATTTTTAGTTAAAGTTGGTCATTTATGGCTTTCTAAGAATGAAAAACAACATGCATGCACAAAATTAAAATATAAAACTGTGACAATTTACCCATCGCACCATTTTATATATAAGTTTTACTTTTCAATGAGTACACAGATATTAAACTCTGATCCTCAACAGAAATACTGAGGAGCAACTTTCTGAGCCAAAGTAGTGTAAACAGATACTTCGCTTAGATCAAATGAAGGAGACTAGAGATCAGAGGCAGTGTGCAAGGATACTCTGATTCTAGGTTGAAGTGCTTATCTGGATATAAATGATCCTGACATTTTTTTTTTTACATATACTATTTTAGTAATAAGTTACTGTAAATATTTTATCTACTGTCTGCTTAGGACATTAACAACTAGATGAAACTGAATATTATTTTTGGTGTGCATACAAATGACTTTGATTATGTTAATATGAAACCTTCATTGAAACTTGTCATTTGAGTTTCTATTGTTGACCAAGAGAAAATTTGTGCTATTGTTTCCATTTGCCAGCACCTGATGAGATTATCAGCTATGTCAGTAGTGAAAGAATTCTGAACAAATAAAGGAGAAATGACTTGTTTTTGTTGAAGTAACAATGGTTAACATTGAGGATTCATAAATTGAGAGGAATTGGATATTTAGGCAAACAGAAAATGATTATTGTTTGCCTAATTTGCTTTTTGTTCTCTGCTTTGGTAAAAGCTGAGGCTTTTATTCATTTATTGGCTTTGACTTTCTCTTTATCTTTCACGTCTACCTCTCTTAAAAAAAAAAAAAAAAAAAAAAAATTCTTCTGGTGCATATATACTTCTCTGATATTGACTATACAGTGTAACCCGGATATAAGAGAGTTGTCGGGACCGGAGAATAAGTTTCTTATATCCGGGTTTCTCTTATATCCGGGTTTAGTCTATTTTATATACATTAACACAGGTTCTAATTTGGGACCAGAGAAAATCTCTCTTATATCCGGGTTTCTCTTATATCCGGGTCACACTGTATTAACATCCCTTTTTGATATACTTTTCCTATCTTTTTCTTTTAGTATTCCTCAGAATACTAGTCAAAATCATTTTTTCTTTTCTCTCCCTCCTTCTCTCCCTCTCCATCCCCCCTCTCTCTCTCCCCATCTCCATTCCCCTCTCCTGCACCCCTCCATCCCCCTCTCTCCATCTCTCATTTTGCACTCTCATTTATGATTCTCTAAACCTCTGTTATCTCTCTCTCTGTGCCCATTTTGTCCCTCACTATATTCTATTTCTCTTTTAGTATCTCTCTCCCGACTTTTGTTCAATATTTGTTTTCTCCCTCTCTCCCTTCATCCCTGTTTTCTGTGTGTGTGTGTGTCTCTCCAAGCTGTTTTGTGTTTCCCTCTTTCTCACTTTCTCTCTTCACCCTCATTTTGTATGTGTGTCTCTCTCTCTCTCTCCCTATGCCCTTGTTTTGTTTGTGTGTGTCGCTCTCTCCTCCCCTCTGCCCCTCTTTCAGTATCTTTTGCTCAGTATTTTCTCTCTCTTCTCTCTCAAGATGTATCCTCTCATTATCTCACTTTTCAGTTAATTTTGTTTCTCTTTATTCTTTATAGATATCTCTCTAGTTCTACATTCTACACTTCTCCAATCTCAAATTTTGTTGCTCTCCATCCTTCTCTCTCTCTCTCTCCCTCTTTTATTTACTTTATTGCTCTCTTCACTCTCATTTCATGTCTCTCTTTTTCTTCCTTTAACTTTATATGTAATGTTTTAGCTCTGTCTCTTTTTCTCTCCCAATTTTTCTTTTATTTCCTTTTCTCCCCATCACTTTTCTTATTCTCTATCATTTATTTTTAATAACAATAACTACTCAAGAGTACTTACCTAAACTTTTTTTAGTGTTGAACTTTAAGTAACAAGCAAATTTTACCATTACTATTATTATTAGAAGTAGCAGAAAAAGAATCTGCTTTTGAGCATAACACTTTTAAGAAATGACAAATACTTACATCTGATATTACAAAGCTTTTTATAAATATAATGAATTCTGTACAGTAGTCCCTAACTCTTATCTATACAGGGATATGTTGCAAGACCATTTGCCAGTGTCTGGAACTGCAGATAGTACTGAAAACTATATCCACTATATTTTTTACTGCATACACGTTTAATTTAGAAATTGGGCCTAGAAAAGAAAAAAAGTTGACAGTAAATAATCCAATAGAACAATTGTAACATGACTGTAAAATGAAAATTATTCAGCAGAAAAATAGATATTTAATAGAAAGTTATCATAGATCTTATCACTTTCGGTATACAATTTCTTTCCTTTTTAAACTGAGAACTTCCATATATTCACTTAAAGGGAAAAACTTTACAGCTTTTCTTTGGCAAATCTGAATTGTCATCAACACCATTCTTTTGCTTTGAGAAATAGCAGTTAAGATAGAATCATTTCACTCACTTAATCTTTACACTTCTAGTCACAAAAACTGAGATATATATATATATATATATATATATATAAAATTAATTCACCCGAAGCATGGCAATAATGCCACTAAGATGCAAGGGTCTACTGGGAACGAAAAAAGAGAATAAAACTTTAGAATGACCTGAAAACCCAATTCTAAACAGAAAACAAAGGAGAAATCTCTACTCCTGTTCAAAAGAATGAGAAGGAATGTGAACTGGATAATAGGTGTGAACCTATCTATTTGTATTGAGGATTACCTTTAGACTATTGTTATGGTACAGTACAAGTGATACCAAATCTGTACTGACAGATAAAGTGAATTTAAAGTTTTTTTTTCACTTAGAGAAAAAGGATGTACAGCAAGACAGGCCAGCCAGGATTCTTAGAGATAAAAAAATGAATCTGTTATTTGTGAAATTTAATGCTTTAAGATTACAGAACAATTTTCTTAGATATTGGACTGCTGAGTGATTTAATGATATCAACAAAAATATTTCCTTAGATAGATTTATCAGATATTCTGTTTCAAGTTAATCTTGGAGAATATGATCTATTTTTTGTAGGCTTATTTATAGTTAGATTTAGGTTGTTTGGAAAAGAATATTGCAATTATACAAATGTTATGGTCCAGTTCCTTGTACCCCGGGTGATAGTCCAAAGGAGAACCAATAAAGAAGAACATGGACATGGAATAACACAGATATATTACAAACAGGAATATATACAGAGAAGTAGAAAAGTGTTAGTACGAACAATCAGGTTTAGTAGTAATTGTCTGAATGCGACTCTGTTTCAGACTACCTCTGACTCAACTGACTCACTCGCTCTGACTGACAGACTCCTGATGGACCTCACTCCAGACTTCAGACTGAACTCTCTGCTTCCTCTTGAGGCGCAGTATTTATTACGTATGGAATAGTCCATTGTTATTATGGGTAAGGTCCCATAACAACAAATTTGGAACTTTGGATTATAGAATCAAGGTTAAATAGGAAATAAAACTGAGATTTAATCTAATATCTATTCTATAAGTCTTTGCACTATTTATAGTTCATGGTAACATTTAATTTTATGGAAGACAAAGAAAACATTTTAATGAGTGTTATATTAGCCATTGCATGTTGTATGAATTTCATAAAACCAATAATACAAAACAGACAATGAAATATATTTAGGCTGTGTACTTGAGTGCAGTGACTCTCATTAAGTGCTACAATGGTGTAATTATATGTTTCATTTAACCACAAGCAAGGCAATAAAGGCCACTAGGATGGAATGGGGTTACTAAGAGTTAAAGAAACAGAGAGGACAATAAAATAACAGGATTAAAGGAGACAGATGACAATTGACATTGCATTTAAATCTTTGAAGATCATAGTTGATGGGAAAGTTCGAAGCCACAAGCAAGAAGTTATCAGTATAGAAAAGTTTAAAACTAGCAATTTCAACAGTGAAATTATGAAACCTAGTTACCAATCTAGTACTGCACTTAAAAACCAAGAAGGTGAAGTGCCAACAAGGAAAGCTCATGAGAAGAAATACTGTGAAAATATTTATAGATGAGGGAAAGGAGGAGCTATGTCACAGCAATGGGGAAAGTAATTGAAGGCGAGATGTCAAGTTAGGATCAATAACATTGACTTAAAGGAATTTTGTCAAGAAGCTCTAGATATAAAACAGAACTGCCACAACAGATGTGGCAGCAAGATTCTATGCATGGCTGAGTGGTAGACTTGTAAAATTTTCTAGTATGACATTGTGAACTTACTTTAAATATATGCTGATCTTCCTGGTAACCCTCTCTCTAGAACTGTGATTCTCAAAGTGTACAGTTCTATCCTCCTGCTTTGGGAGCACTGGAAAGATCTTGGGAAAAGCAGGTGGCAGTTTTAGGCAACATATATGCTTTACAAAGAATAAAATGAACAACATAAGAATTATGTGCAAACACATAGTTTTATTTTATTTTTTTGCCTGAAGGTAAAATTGTGTTTTTATATGGGTTAGGGCAGGTCAGTTTTGGAACAGTTGTATTGCACTCAATTTGAAAGTTGGGGTTTGACACGATAAATGATGACACAAAATAATTTTTTTCAAATTGTTACTGTTTTTTTGAAGAAATGAGTTTAAAAGATTAAATTTAAAATCATAACACTGGAATTACATTCCAGTGATCAGTGAAAGCCGTATAAAATTTAGCACAGCTTTATAAAATTTATGATTTACTGAAGCTTATGCATGGTATAAGCACATTATTACTAAATTATTGTGCCATCAAATAAGAACTTCATTTACTTGAAAGGGAAATTATACCGAGCAATTTAGCTATATTATGATGTCATGTGCCATAGTTTTAGTGTGATTTTCAATAAACAATGCAAATTTAAAACATTTTGTCTTATTTCTGCCCAGCAGTATTATGGTGTTATAAACGCATTTATCTATTTTTTGCTTTTATTATGATCTATCAAATCTTATTCATTGAGTAGCCTTTTTTGTATTTTACAATACAATATACATATATACACACACACACATTTTTATTTATCAAATACAGTAAAAGAAATTGTATATTTTGCTTGTGGTGATTCATAATCAGAATTCTGGTTTGTATATAGTTTCAATTCAATGTATCCAACAAAAGATGTTTATTTTATTTGAATTTATTCTTGAAATAGTAAAATTTTGAAGTCAATTTCTAAGGAAAAACCTGTGGAAATTAGGTATTTCTGTACATTTTTTCAAAGATCTTTAAAATTAAATGCTCAAAAATGGGTAAAAGTTATGAATCTAATTTTTGGTGTCAGTACTTATCATATCAAATCCCAGTTTTCAAATCGAGTGCAATGCTAATTTTCTTTAAAAAAAAAAAAAATAATGTTAAAAATCAATCAATTTGTCCTAATATGGGTGTCAGAAGGGGACATGGGTATTGTGGCTAGCTGCGAGAAGTTTGAGAGCCACTACTTTAGAATAATCCCATAAACTTTTACAAGCATGTATCTAAGCATACTTTTAAAATTCACAATGCATGTCAACATTTCTGGTAATTTAAAAGAAATCTCAGCTTTTCCCTTAAGTTTAGTAATTTCTATGCTTTCTGACCAGGAATGAAAACCGCCATTTTCTTCAGAAGATTGTTATGGGAGATGAGAAATCTTTGCAACCAATTCAAAGAGTAATGGTTATTACCTCATGTCAAACCTGTCCCAACACTGAAAGCAGAACGCCATTAACAATTGGCTTTACATGACAGATTTTATCTGCTCTTATTTATTGGATACTCATGAAATTATCACTGCAGATATTCATCAACATGTTGTGTCCATCAGTGGTGCATTATACTAGAAATGTTATTTAATAAACAGAAAGTTTGTCATTCTTTAACCTGACATTGCAAAGCATCACAAACATATGAGTAAATAAAGTCATTAGATGTAGCACATTTTGATTATCATTTGTTTTGATTTGTAGAGAATTTCCTTAAATGCTCTGCTTCTCAGTTTCCTTTATATATAAAAGAAGAAAAACTGAAGAGATTTCTTGGCATATCTTTTAAAAATTGCCTCAACATTGTACTGTATTAAATGTGTTCTTTCTCTCTCTTGTGTGTGTGTATATATATATATATATATATATATATATATATACATGTATATATATGGGGCAGCAGATCATTATTTAATTATCATTAAATTTATTCAAAAGATCTAGACATTGGTTCTGTTGTAATACTTTGGTCTACCATGTGGTGTGACATCATAGAACTGCATCTTGAACTTATGATCTGCGTCTGCAATTCTGCAACCATTAATGTCACACAGCAATCTTCTATATCAAAATAACAAAATATCATCTTTGATGGTGGATATCTTTGTTTCATGTCTATAACCACTCTGAGGATGGCTCATGTGAGCTGAAAGCTTAGGACCAGCTTAAAAAGAAAAAATATCTAAATGTTGGATAATTTAATTTTACCAGAAATTAAAGTAAACATTCAAATGACTCATGATCAAACCTAATAGGCATTCAGTATCTGTTATATTTAATATGTCATATATATATATATATATATATATATATATATATAAAAAAGAAAAACAAAAACTGTTGGTGGAACCAATGGACAACTTGCCAAAACCTAAAACTGTTATTCAGATACAGTCTTGAATAAAACCAAAAATACTGGAGAGAAAAAAACACCTCAAAGCAAACTTACCTACTCAGGAAAGTAAAGTGCTTGAAGCCCAGATTGCCTAGAATGAGCAAAATGTGCTT